TATCTGAGAAATTATTTCTGATTTCATTCTTTCCAGATCCCCTTTTGTTGCCACTTCAGTGGGTCCAGGTGGTTGAGTGTCAGAGTGTTCCATCTCATTTCCCTTTGGGATTGCCATAGGTGATCTGGGAGTCTGGTTTTGAGACTTATTTATGTGTTTTCTCATTTCGACTGGGGTGGGGGGCTGTTAGCCCTTGCACGGATTACCTCCTCTGAACTGGGAGAGGTGGGACAGGGGCCGGGAGCAGCAGTAGGGATGGTGACCCAAAAGCCCTTTCCTGTGGGCTGGGAGCAGCAGGAGGGATGGTGGCCGGGAAACCCCTTCCTCTGGACCAGGATCAGTGGGAAGGTGGCTCAGAAGCCCCTTCCTCTGGGCCAGGATCAGTGGGATAGGAGGTGGCCCAAAAGTCCTTTCCTCTGGGCTGGGAGCAGCAGGAGAGATAGTGACAAGGAAGCCCCTTCCTCTGGACCAGGAGCAGTGGGACAGCTGCTCAGAAGCCCCTACTTCTGGGCTGGGAGCAACAGGACTCAGTACCTTGGTCTGGTGGTCTGGTATCCTCTGCGTCTTTGTAGTGTGGAACCAGGTGGCTGCCTGTCTGCAGTGGGGTGATTCGGTGTCTTCTGCGCAACTCGGGACCTTGGTAGGGCGTGCACAGACCCGTGTGTCTGCAGCAGGCTGATTCAGCATGTTCCATCAATAGGATCTTGTTATTGTACTGATTAACATTTTTCTGATTCTACTGTTGCACACTTTTCCTTGTGCTGTACTGGCTATTTATCATCTTCTTATGTGGTCTTTTTAATTGGATTGTCTATTGATGAGCTTTAAGAGTTCTTTATATATTCTGGTCATAGGGTATATGTATTATAAATATGTTCTGATTAAGAACTACTTGTCATTTTCTTTAAAATGTCTTTGAAAGTTCTGAATTTTGATGGAATCTCATTTATCAATTTCCCTTTTATACATTATGTTTTTTGTATCCTAGGAAATTCTTGCCTACCCTAAATTCATGCACATTTTCTCGTATAATTTCTTGTTAAAGTTTTATAGTCTTAGTCTTTCATATCTAGGTTAATAGATCCTTCCAAGTTATTTTTATTTATGGAAATAAACGGTTGAGGTTAATTTTTTACATACAGATACCAGGTGTTCTAGTACGATTTATTGAAAACATTATCTTTTCCTCTGCTCTTGAGTTGAGGTTATGTTTTATCAAATGTTAATGTTAAATAATCTTACAAAAATCAGTGGTTGTATTTCTAGATTCTCTGTTTTATTCCATTGATCTATATGTCTTTACTTTTGCCAACATTGCCTTATAGCATTAGAAGAAGTTTTAAAAGTAGGTAACAAATGTTTTCCAACACTGTTATTTTTTTCTCTTTTTACTTTTCCAGGTCCTTTCTAATCCTACATAACTTTTAAATTTCAATATCCACTTCTCCATTTATGCAAGAATACATAGATCTGAATTTCTATGTATACCTGTGGTTTTTAATCCTGCTAAATTCAAATACAAGTTCTAGGGGCTCCTAGAGATTTCTGAGTATTTTCTCTGTAGATGATCATTTCATCTACATCTAAAGATTTTACTTCTACCTTGCCAATCCTATGCTATTTGTTTATTTTTACTGCCTAACTATTTTGATTTAGGCCTATATTTCAACCTTTAATGGACAGATGAAGATTAAGCATATCTGCCCTTGTTCCCCACCTTAGAGAGGAAGCATTGTATTTTCTCCATTCATATAAGGCATTTTTCCTGGAAGTATGGAGTACATGTCTTTTATCTGTTGAGAAGGTCCTGTTCTAGTTCTAGTCTCCTGATAACTTTTACCATGAACAGCTGTAGAATTTAGTCCAATAATTTAGTTCGATACTTTTTCTGCAACTAGTGACAGGATCATATGGCTTTTTCCTTTCCTTTGTTAAAATGATGCCTTATAGGGGTGCATCTTCCAATGCTGAACTAACACTGCGATCCCTATAATAAAACCACTTACTACGTACTGCCACATCTGCCTTCTAATAGTTTGTTTTGCTAAACAAATTTTTATTTATGTTCATACTTTTCTATTCTATTATCTTTATCCAGTTTTAGTATTAGCACAGTGCTAATTTCCTAAAATGAGGGGAGAAGTGTTCCTTCTTTTTCTGCTTTTAATGTTTGATATAATTTATCAGTTAAAATGGATATGAGCCTGTTGTTGTCATATAGGTAGATTTTCAAGCTAGGAATATACTTTCTTTCAGTTTCATTACTTTGTCTTCCAAGGTACTTCATAGAAGTTATCAAATTTATTTCCAAAAAGATTTTTGTAATATGCTTTCTATATATTTTTAAATTCTGTAAAATCTGTGGCAATGTCCTCTAAATCTTGATCTTGTTATTCTTTAAAAATGTATGATTGATATTGTGTAATAGGAAGAAAAGTTCTAAAGGAGTAGGGGAAGTGGGAGTAGTAGGGGAAAGGAAAGAAGGGAAAAGAAAAAAATATGAGAAAAAGAAAAAATGGAAACAAACTTTTTGCAAATAGGGAAGGGTGGAGGAGGTGAAGGGAGGGCAGGGTAGTGGGGAAAAAATAAGAACCAAGATACGTCATGTAAATGTTCAAGATCCTAATGATCTTGTACAATTAACTGTATTAAATTAAGTTAATTAAATTGTACATTGTAACTGTATTTTATACCTAAAATGTAACAATGAACTTTATGGAAAATAAAAGAAATGATTTTAGCACGGTCTAATATGAATCCATGTAAATACTTCACTATTGTTCAATCACGTTTTAAGATTATATGCCTAAATACTAACAATGCAATTTTAACACCCCAAGATGATTTTTAATATTTTGGCATAAATGTTATGTGTGGTTATTGAATAGATATTAATGAACCATCTTGTGGGTTGCTTTACATATTGCCTTTCAAACAACAAGAATCAATTTAGAATATTATGATAATCATAAGCTAGCAGAAACCTACATTGGTCAAAATTCAATGAGGCTCTCTTGGTGATGATAGTGATCATAAGAGAAGATAGTTAATGAAGAGAGTATTACAAAAAATAATTTTATATTGGCCAACTATTGATAAGCTATCAAAGAAAACGATATTAGCAAAGCTGTAAGTAACATGCAGCACATTTTTAAATTTCAATTTAGTCTGTAATTTCCTTCAGGGACTTACCCTTGAGATTTCGCTTACCACTCTCTACACAGTGCATTTCAGGCAGGTGCACTGCCACTGAGCTACATCCCCGGCCCTTGTACACAATGCATTTCAAATGGATGGAATTACTTGCAGAAGAGCATATATAAAATTTTACAGTGTTACTTTGTCTTTAGGTTTAGCTGCAGAAAACTGAACAGGGACCTCCAGACTGGATAAGTATATATTTCTGAAGACTGAGTGGATGCCTTATGAATCAGGATGCTCTCTCCCAATGATACTCCATCTCACCCATCCTCCTTCTTGTTGCTGGGGATCCCAGGTCTAGAAACTCTTCACATCTGGATCGGCTTTCCCTTTTGTGCTGTATACATGATCGCACTCATAGGGAACTTCACTATTCTGCTGGTAATCAAGGCTGAGAACAGTCTGCATCAGCCCATGTTTTACTTCTTGGCCATGTTGGCTACCATTGACTTGGGCCTCTCTACTGCTACCATCCCTAAAATGCTTGGGATCTTCTGGATTAATCTCAGAGAGATCATCTTTGAAGACTGTCTCACTCAAATGTTCTTCATCCACAAATTAACAGTTATGGAATCCACTGTCCTCCTAGCAATGGCTTATGACCGCTATGTGGCCATCTGCAATCCACTCCAGTACAACATCATGCTCACCAACAAGGTTGTTTCTCTGATTGGTCTTGGTGTGTTAGGGAGGGCAATTATTTTTGTCATTCCACTTGTGTTTCTAATTATGCGATTGCCCTTCTGTGGGAATCATGTCATTCCCCACACTTACTGCGAGCACATGGGACTTGCTCGTCTATCTTGTGGCAGTATCAAGATCAATATCATTTATGGCTTATGCGGCATATGTAATCTTCTGTTTGACATCATAGCCATTGCCTTTTCATACATACAGATACTTCGAGTTGTTTTCCAATTCCCATCTCAGGAAGCCCGACTCAAGTCCCTCAGCACGTGTGGGTCTCACGTGTGTGTCATCCTTGCCTTCTACACACCAGCTCTCTTTTCCTTCATGACACATCGCTTCGGCAGAAATGTTCCCCGCTATATTCATATACTCCTGGCTAATCTTTACGTTGTAGTGCCACCAATGCTCAATCCTATCATCTATGGGGTCAGAACCAAACAGATCTATGATCGTGTGAAGAAAACACTGTTGCAGAGACACATCATGGAAAAGGAATAGCACCTAATACATATAGACTCTATATGCAATTTTATGAAAGTTCGATCAGAAGAATGCATCATTATGAAAATTACGTTTCAATATGTGGCTGTATTGGCTCTCTTGGAATATTAAAGAGTGCTGAATTCCCCATTGCTTTTCATATCACTTCTCAGCATCTCTTTCTGGGTTCTTGCTCTGTCCCCTCAATCCTCTCATGATTTTGTTTTAGCAGGTTATGAAAATTTTCTCTGTTCTTTGCGACATCTGATTGATACTTTTAAATCAGATTTTAACATGTACATTGTTAGAATAATTGATATTTCTTGGAGTATCTTTCTTCACTCAATATAACTATATTTACTTTCTAAGTATTTGTCTTCATAATTGCAGGATGCTCAGAATAAAACTGTGAGTCTTCCACTGTCTCCGACTTTAAGTAATTGACAGAATTTAAAACTAGTCATCGAACTCACCCTAGAACTATCTATCTTTGTTGTTGTTGTTGTTGTTGTTAGCCAGAAACAAGTTTATTCCAGAGAAACTCCACACAGGCTATTATAGAATACCTTAACCCATCACATTGTAATAATACAGACAAAAGGCCTAAAATGAGAGCTACACAGGCATGTAAGAACAAGACAGGCATGTTGAATGCTGTTGTGCATGTGCCAGCATCTTAGAACTGAAGGTAAATTATTCTTATGGCCACTGTTGCCTACCTTGGACTTCAGGGGGGATCACATTTCAGAATTAGAAATGTGCTTCAATAGATAAAACGGAAATAAGTGGATTTATTCATATTATTACAATATAGATGTATGTCTGCTTTCAAGTATCATACAATTTCTATTTATAGAAATCTGAAACTTTAATACAAGTTTACTATTAAATTCATGCACACTTAACACAATTACTGTATTTTTTTCTCTTCAGACTATTATCTTTTATGTACTGTCATATAATTCAACCTGAGTGTGGGTCTTTCATAACAATAATTTTCTCTATGGATTATATTGCTGTTATTGCCACATGACACATTTATTTTGATTTTATACATGTGTTTATGATAACTCTAACCATTACCTTCCAGGTATCTATGCAACTTGAAAAGTTCTAATATAAATTGTGTGTTATACCCAAGTTTGTTAAAAGCAATCTTATAAGAATTTAAGTCTATTTACCAATTTTCTGGTTTATAGACTATTATTGATAAAATTTACTTCTCCAAATATACTTTCAATGATTCTTATATAGTTATGCATTTACGGAAGTAACTCATTGCTATCCTGAGTTCAATCATTAATTACCACAAAAAAAGTTCTTAGAAATTTACTGGAAATTTTTAATTGTTAGAAATTTCATTTGTTATTCATTCTTACTTTCATCAACAAAATGTATCTGTTATTTTACTCATGTCAGAAAATAAACTTACATACTTCTTTTGATATAATTTTGTTTGAGGTGAATTTCCTCAGTGTTTCTTTTCATTTTATTTTAATTTTTAATTTTATTTTATGGTTCAAGGTTATAAAATTCTAAAGCAGCTTTTATTTCCTTTTCAGTCTTTTGGGAAGCATTCTGCCTTCTAATTTGCACCTAAGATGTCAATGTAACCTTGTTGTTTTAGAGATATTATATTTATTCTCTTTCTTTGCATTTATAATTTTCTCTTTGGAGTAGCTTTGTTTAAATTCTTCCTATACAAATCTTCAACTTGACTTATTTTATTAATTTTGCATATTGTTTGCAATTTATTTATCAAATATTTTACCTGTTTGGTTCTTTATCCTCATTCCCATTTAACTTCCAATTTTTTAAACCTCCAATGTTTTAAAATTCCCATACTTCTTTTCTCTGTTCTTCTAGAGATTTTTATTTTATTCCTCATATTCTATTTTGCTATTTTTGTCATCTGTGTTTAATTTGTCTTAAATCCTTCTGTTTTTATTTTAGGAAACTTCATTTTACTCATAGGTTTCAATATAATACTCCCTTTACTTTTTTTCTATAGTATTCACATATCTCCAAATAATTTCAGTCTTATTATATATACTTACATATGTAAGAGGTAAAAATCTGTTTTTATTTGTTCTGTTATCTGTATGACCTAAGGATATAATCATCTCATATATGGATTCTCTTCTTGGCTTATTCTCATTATAATTATTATGTTTTGTATCCTTTTTTGGCCAATTGTCTTCTGTAATAATGTGAGACATTGTGTGTTAAAAATCTAGACATTATTTGAGCATCTGGGGATGTTTTATTTTTTCACAACTGTTCCTACTTTCCCATGGAAGACCAGAAGAGTCAGCATTCCTGAATCATTTCAGTCACGGCAGGGCCTGGACTAGTTTTACTTCATCCTTGCTCCTATCATTTATGTCTTCAGGGTTGCAGGGCAATATCCATATTACTTCCCAGAATCCCCCTTGTGGACAGATTCTGGTATCCAGTGTTAATCTTCACTATCCAATAAATATGTACAATTTTAATAAGCCTTTAATCTTCTCATCTCCTCTTCCATAATTGATAATTTCCTCTAGAGAAGAAAGACCTTATATTCTAGATTAATCTTTTGTAACAACTTTATTATTCTCAGATAATTTTCATTTCTTCTTAAGAAATTTTTATTTTGACTTTCCAATTTCTGTTCGAGTAAATGTTGACTCTACTTTTCTAACTTACCACTACTCAATTACACCTCTAGTATAAAATCAACATCACAGATATGGACACTTAGCAGACCTAGAGTTTTAACTTGCAATATAATTCTGAATCTGCAGTAACATGACTTTCCCCTTTAATTTGTCAACCATATAGTAGTGGTATCATGAATTAATCAGTATCTAAGAAAATTAATTATTTTCCTTATCTTCTATATGACTGCAATATTTATGAAAATGTATTTGAAAGTAAGAATAACATAGCTAAATTTCTAAAAATAATATGGAGACTAAAGCGATATGAGATCACAGATAGGTAATTACTATTTGTGTAAAGTTAAAATTCTTTACCGTGAAACAAGCTTCTCATCATGACACAATTTTTTCATCTCTGTTATTCGTTGAAATCTTTGCCAAAGACATTATCACCTATGTAAATTTTTTCAAAAATTTCGAGAGCTCTCAAGAATCCTCATTTCTCTTTTTGTGGAATGTTATCTTACATAATATGCCATCCCATAACAAAGCCCTAACTCATTTGATTCATCTTACTTAGTTAATTTATATTTTACTTACTATTATTTCTTAACTCACAATCCATTATAGCTTGTCTATAGTGCATGTTTGCAAAATCAGTAAACACTGCACATTTTTTAAAAAGGCAGAGTGACATGGTCATCACTGTAGCCCAAGAATTTAGTATTTACTAATTAAGAAAATAGACTCTTAGTAGAAGGTTGTGGGGTATCCAATCTGTGACCTTTTGGTTTTTTTAATTTTTTGCCCCAGTTTTAAAATGTTATATTAAAAATATAAAAAATAAAGGAAGTTTTGTTAACTTACATATAGTAACTATGTGATATAATCCTACATGTGGCTCAAGAGGGTTAAAGAAAAAGCAGGATGCAGGCGTTTTTTAAATGCTTGGAAGAAGGAGAGAGAGAAGGATGAGGAGGGGAAAAAAGAGAGAGGAGGAGGAAGACAAGAACTGTGAGAAATTAAATAATTTAGCACAACCTAGTGAGTTCACATTTGCAAATGTAAAATAACACATAAAATACATATAAAGAAAAAGATAAATAAAATGTTGATCTGGGCAAAATCAAAATGTGAAGAATTGGATAAGAGTAGAAGACAGAAAGCAGCCCTGCCTGCTTGAACAAGGAAGGAGGCTCAGTACCAACACCTCCAGGACAGGTTGCAGGTTTCCTGTTGTTTTAGTTCGTTCTTTGTTCACACTACACTAGAGCCAAATGTCCTCTTGCTTCTAAAATGTTGTTTCTACATCAGTTTGGTTCTATAATCAACTAGGTTTAAGAATTTTTTTCACTTTTGTGATATATAATATTTTTAAATTTATGTAGGAAAAGAAGAATATACTCTCCATAAATGGAGATCATAGACTAAAACAGACTTACTTATACTATCACAATGGAAAATTAATGCTCTTTGTAACAGATGAGTAGAAAAAAATTCTGCCAGTGTGGGAAACAAAACTAGATGCAGATAGAATGATTAATGTACAAAGAATCAGAGTTACAGAATGTCCTATCTTGTATCCAACTATTGTCCTGATGACGTGAAGCATATTACATAGTTAAAGATATCAGTGTTGGTCTCATTCTCTGAGTGACCAAAAGCATCCCAAGGAAGAAGTCAAAGAAATTTTCATCTTAGATAACAAATCAAGCATAAGTCATTTGGCCCAAGCAAGTTTAGATTAATTGTAATATATAAAAGCTAGGGTTCTCCACATTGCCCTTATTTCTGGATGAATATTCTGAGCACTCTTTCACAAATCCACTTGACCCTGACTCTGTATATGACAGTGTTGAGTATCGGTGGAGTAACTACATACAAATTGGCCAGAAGAATGTGACTGCAGTAGGGGATATTTTGACCAAAATGGTGGGTTGGTGTGTAAAAGGCCAAAACTACAGAGACATGTGAACCGTAGATACTGAGAGATTTGAGCTCACTTTATGTGAAGGGAGACAGAAAACAGCATGGAGAATTTGGACATAGGATAGAGGGATGGCCATGATGTCACAATCCAGTACAGCAGTAGTCCACAGGCCATATATGATATTTTCCCTGATACTTGCATGGGCAAGAAGAGCAAGACCTGTGTGCTCACAATACATGTGTAGGATGATGTGATGCCCACAGTAGGGCAATTGCAAGATTAGAAATACAAATGCAAACACAGCGAGGAACGATCTCCCAATCACTTCAAAACCAATTAGAGCAACTGTCTTGTTAGTAAAGAGTGTACTATAATGGAGAGGGTTATAAATAGCTACATAGCAATCATACGCCATGGCAAGAAAGAGTACTGGCTCCATGCCAGTA